CCCCCACACGGGGTTTTCCGTCGTGCTTCTCGGGGCTTCCCAGCGGCCGGCGTTGGGGGCGGTCTGTAGGGAACCCCCAGGTCAGCTGCTCGCGGCCCCAACCGGCTCAAACTCCCCTGCATCGGGCCCAGCTTCCCCCCGGGGCGCGGCTGTAGCCCCGGCCTCCCCTACCTGGCTTCCCGCGCCCCCTCGCATCCACCTCCCTGTCCAAGGCTGCCCAGGCAGCGCCCCTACACCCACCTCCAGCTTCCCGCTCCTCCTCTCACCCCTCGACCCCTCCTGCTCCTGCTCGGCCCTCCCCACCCCATCTTCCATGAGACCCTCCCTCAGCCCCGCCAAACCCCTGCTCTCCCCTCCCCTCCAGCACTTCCCCTCCTTCCTCGCCTCTTCCACCCGCCTCAGCCCCTGCCCTTGCCCCTGCCCCTTTCCTTGGAGTACCAAGGGCTCAGTCTTGGTCCCCACACATTCCCCAGGATCACCTGCCGGTCCCAGCGGAGACAGCCCCATCACCCCTCCCACCGGGAGGCTGCCTGCACGCCCCGAAGCCGCCTCGGCAAAGCTTTCCAGCTTGCATTTCAAGGCTGCCTTCCCCCAGGTCTCCCAACTCAGGGACCATTTCCTCCCAGGCAAAAGTTGACTCTGAGGTCTCATCTCTCACTTCTCCTTCCCCCTCCCAGCCAGAATCCCCAGGCCTGCCCCTCCCTGTTTTGCATCTTCACTGCAGGGTGGGATCCGGTGGACTCCCCTCCCACCTGAACCCCTCCATCTCCCCTGCTCCCACCGGTTCCCACACATCCCAGCCTGCTTTCTTCCTTGTTCCACGAATGCCCCGCAGATCTGAGCCTGCCCACGGCACCCAGCACTCCAGCCCCCATACCCACGGCTCCCCTCCCTGAGCTGAGCCCTCTGCTGGACCCATCTCAGGCCTGCGGAGCTGCTGGGTGTCCCACAAGTGTCCCCTGAGGTGACCAGGGCACCACCCTAAAGATACATCTTGCTCTCTGCTGTCCCCATGCCAGGAACGGTGCAACCAGCAGGTCCTCAGCGAGTCCTCCCTTTCTGGGACACCTTCCTGGCTCTTTCCATGCCTGGGTCCCCACTGTGCCTCGGCCAGCCTTGGGCACCGGCGCCCCTTCCTGGGACGCGGGGTACACTTCTTGCTGCAGGTGCTGATGAGGCGCCCTCTCCTGTAAGGCTGAGTCAGCGAGCCCTGCAGCAAGACCAGCCCCCCACCCCCACCCCCGGCCCCCGGCTCCCAACCCAGGCACCTCCACTGCCAACACCTCACTCTCAGCACATTTCCCGAGTGTTTCCTTGGCAGATGTCTACACAAGCCCAGGTGCTGCGGTTCCCATGGCTCAGAGCAGCCGCAGGGGGTGGGGTGGGAGCCCCGGTGGTTGGGGTGGGAGCCCTGGATGGGCTTGCGGGCTGCCCTAGATTCTAACACAGCCTCCTTGGAGGTCACAGGTGGGTCCGAGGTGGCCTCACCCTGCCTTGAGCTTCCAGCAAACACTTCCCGAAGCAACTCTGAAGGGTCAGGCCGGGTCTCCCAGCCTCCTTTCACCAGCGCTGCCTTCGGGGCCCCCCGGTCCCCCCGGCCCCCCCCGGCCCTTGCAACCCCTTCCCGTTGATGTGCTGAGAGCATCAGGCCAGACCCACCTGAGGAGAAACCAGGGCCTTATCTGCCACAGTGTAGGGGCCTAGGAGGAGGCAGGAGCTTACCTGAGAACAGGAGAGGCCACATTCTGTAATCCGGGGGATGGCCAGGCTCTGGAAAATGCCCCAGGTCAGGCCCAGGAACGCGAGTGCTTGCCCAGCCAGCATCTGGCTGTGCAGTGACAGCTCCCACTGGTGAGCGTGGATGTGAGTGGGGCAGGTTTTCAGGGTGCCCTGTGGCAGCGGCTCCAGGCTGACCCTGCAGCTCCAGCCCCAAAGACAAACAGAGGAGTGAGTGGAGTCTGCTCCTCACAGCAGGGCCAGCGGGACACTCCCCCTCCCGGCGAAACAGGGCTCGCTTCACAGACAGCAGCCCAGAGACTTTCCACCGTCTGGGGCCGAGAGACTGTGGCCACACACTTGTGGAGTTTCTAGGTTTCCAAAGGAAGCATCCAGAAACCTTGGGGCCTTTGGGGTCCGAGGACGCCCTAATGGGGTTCCCCACAGGGCGGCCACTGGAGCAGAGATGGCTCCAGGCCAGTGGGATAGGCTGCCACCTGTGTGCACGCCCCTCAGGCGTGCGTGAGGCCAGGATGGTAGACAAGGGCCCTGGAAAGCTGGCTGGGCTGGCAGAGGGGCAGAATCTGTCCTGGGCACTCACCCCAGAGCCCCTGGCTTCAGCTCCAGCCCCTAAGGGAGGGCCCTCTCCTGGGACCTGAGACTCCACCCAAGTCCCTGGCCTCCACCTCCCCTCAAGATACGAAAGGCCACCTCCCCTGTGCGGTCCTCACTGTGAGGTCCCCCGTTCTGGAAAGCAGCCCCTGAGGCCCTCAGTGTGAGGTCCCCCGTGCCGGAGAGCAGCCCCTGAGGCTGGGAAGTCTGGGGCCCGGCCTCTGCTCGGGGAGCTGTTCCGTGTCCTCTTCGTATTTGGAGCATCAAATGCATAGGAAAGTTTCTGGGCAGAAGCTTACTGCTTCCCATTTGCCTCCAGCCAGGGCAGGGGGTTGGAGAGAACCAGAGTGTCGTTCTGGGCTCCTCCTGGCTCCTCCCTTCCTGGACAGGCCCAGAGTCCCTGTGTCCAGCCCAATCTCTATGCTGCGGCCAGGCAGCACTGAGGTTTCTGCACCTGCCTCTGGTTCTGGGAGGGCACTGCCCCACGTGTGTGCGTGCGTGTGTGTGTG